CCTCCTTTCTTGAGCAAGAGAATAAATAAACGCATTAATGGCTCAGAAGAATTGGACAATAGGGAAAATATTAAAACAAAAGTGTAGCTGCAATAATGTTTATGATCATCCTAGTACTCTAGTACAAGAACTGGAAAATAATAATAATAATAATAAATAAACACATTAATGGCTCAGAAGAATTGGACAATAAGGAAAATATACAAAAGTGTAGCTGCAATAATGTTTATGATCATCCTAGTACTCTAGTACAAGAACTGAAAAAATAATAATAATAATAAATAACCTACTACCACTTATTCACAAGCAAGATAATTAAATGGGAATGTGTCATGGGCACGCTCAAACTCAGTTCACAAAAACGTTCACACACTCAACTTTTCCTTTCTGCCACCTTTTCTTTTCTCTGTATTCTGTCAGACAGGAATTAAATTAAATTCTTCGAAATTAAAGTTCATACAACAATTCTTTCAAAAATCCACAGAACCCAAAAGAACACACAACAGGAAACTTTGTAAAAGCACCCAATGAAGCTATAACACGGGGGGGAATAACGAAATGAAATAGAATTTTCATAAAAAAGGTAAGGGAATTTTGCATTTTTATTACCGTCTTGAGCTGACCAAAACGATCGGCGTCGGAGAGGAAGTCCTTCATGGCGAGAGTCCTGGGATGGTGCATCCACATGGTGCCGTCCATGAGCTGGACTCCACTGGAATCTACGGCCTCGAGAATTGTGTCGAATTCGGAGACATTGAGGCCAACGGGCTTCTCGAGGAGGAGGTGTTTACTCTTCTTGGCGGCGAGGACGGCCCAGTGGAGGTGGAGGCTGGTGGGGAGAGGGACGTAGACGGCGTCGATGTCGGGATCGTCGAGGAGGGATTCGTAGGAGCCGTAGATTTTCGCGTGGGGAGGGAAGCCATTGGCCACCGCGAAGGCCCTCGCCTTGTCGATGCTGCGGCTGGCCACGGCGGAGAGGGCGGCGTTCGGGGATAGGCTGATGGCGCGCGACAGCTTGCGGGCGATCTCGGCGCAGCCGAGGATTCCGATCCGGATTGGGGCTTCGACCGCCATTGTTGGAACTTGGAAGTAGAAGTTGCTGAAAGAGTCGAAACGGGAGGCTTTAGTGAGCTCTTCTTTGACAAAAGAGACTAGAAAAAAACAAGAATTGGGAATTTAGATTATTTTTTTTTATAACAAAAAATTTTGACGTGTCAAAAAATAGATCTCATATATAAATATTACTTAAAAATACTTATCTCGTTCTCTCAGAACTGAACAAACCGACCGTCCCTAACTTTCTATCTCTACTTCTCTCTCGCCGACCAGAACACCCACGCCGACCAGACCCTATTTTTGTTTCTCTCTCGCCGACCAGACCATCCACACTGACCATACCCTATTTCTGCTTCTCTCTCGCCGACTAGACCAACCCACGTCGACCAAACCCTATTTATGTTTCTCTCTTGCAGACCAGACCAATCCACTGATCATCGACCAGACCATCCCACCTCAACCAGACCAACCCACCGACCAGACCAACTCACCGACATAACGACCACACTCTCCACCATTCAACGCTCTCTCACTCCACCGACGACTTCCACGACTGAAATGACATCATAAAGCAGCTATTCTTCCTCCACTGAGATGGCCATTCCACGAACCCCTGTCGACGAGGCAACGAAATCTGCTCTCCCTCGGGTAAACCCTATTTGATTTCACATTAGGGTTTTATTCTTGTTTTATTTTTTAATACATTTTTGCAAGAACAAAAACTTAATATAAGAAGATAAGAATATACATTAGGGTCTGTTCATGGTGGTCGGTTCACATACTAGTGGTCTGTTCATGGTCGGTTCGTGGTCTGTTCACATTCTAGTGGTCTGTTCATAATCGGTTCTAATCGTGGTCAGTTCGTGATCTGTTCACATTCTAGTGGTATGTTCGTGTTCTTCGATTGGTATGTTCGTGGTCTTTTCTCATTATAATGGTATGTTCGTAGTCTGTTCTCATTCTAATGGTCTCTTTGTGGCTTCTTTTGGTCTGTTGGTGGTTTGCTTTCATTCTAATGGTTTGTTTGTGGTATGTTCTCATTCTAATGGTCTGTTCGTGGTCTTTTAATGGTCTGTTTGTGGTATGTTCTTATTTTAAAGATATGTTGTAATTCTAATAGTGGTATGTTTGTGGTCTGTTCTCATTCTAATGGTCTGTTCGTGGTTTGTTCTCATTCTTATCGTGGTCTGTTGGTGGTCAGTTCTCATTCTAATGGTCTGTTCATGGTCTTCTAATAGTCAGTTCATGATATGTTCATGGTCTGTTCTTATGATAATTGTCCGTTGTTCATGGCCTGTTCCTATACTATATATATATATATATATATATATATCATGGTATGTTCTTATACTATATTGTTCAATGATTTATGGTTTTTTTCTTTTATTTCAAAATGACATCCCGGAGTACAGCCCTGATGAACTTTCTAGGATTGGACAAATAAGGACGGTCATGGATCCTAAGCGGGAGTACTTTCTAGTGAAGATCGTTGTGACGTCAAAAATAGAGGCTTTGGAGGTTATAAGGCAGAATTTAGACCCTGAAACGGAAATGCCAATTTTCAGGGGATCTGCCTTGAGACATTTGATTTCAATGTCTGATAACATGACGTGTTTTAAAGTTTAGGGACACTATATGCTTCTGAAGTAGATAGAAACATAAAAGAAGCATGAGTTGTGGTTCCTGGTTAACGGAAAGCCAGCTCGGTTTGGGATGAGGGAATTTGCTTTAATCACTAGATTGAACTGCGAAAAAATCCTAAAACCGGACGTGGTGTTGAAATCTTCAACAAGCACGAGGTTGTTGGAGCATTTTAAGGCTAATACCCAAGTAGTACTTATTGTTGATTTGAAAAAATTGCTCACAGAGAACAAGATAAAAAGTAGCGATAAAGCAAATATCGTTATCGTTTACTTTTTAGCATAAGAATTAATATCTAGGGACGAGAAGAAGACCGTCCCACTGGATTGGTTGTCGTATGTCGACGATTTAGATTTCTTTAATAGCTATCCATGGGGCAGAGAGTCTTTTGAATGTACTCTGCGGTCTTTAAGGAAGAACCTAAAAGAGAAATTTTAAAAATGAGTTCAGAAAGGACGCAACAATAGCATCAAGGAAACATACTCACTATGTTGGTTTCCTTGGGCCTTACAGGTATGTCGTACAGTTATATGTAAAATTTTTAATCATGGTCGTACTAATTCTTTATCCCACTAAGGAGGAAATGAGTAGTGTGTGCATGAGGTCGTATCTACCTTATGCCGACCAAGAAGATGCAGAAATTGACCAGCTGTACTGGTCCATCTCCAGCAGCCGAAGCTTCCCCAACAATATTCTCGTCCCCAACAACAACAACATCCTCATCCCCAAGATGGTATGTCTATTGATTACATACTTGACATACTCTATCAGAGAATGGTAGAGTACAATGGTAGACATTTTGAAGCCATCAACAAACGGTTAGAAAAACTAGATGAAACAGTTAGAGAAATAAAGGACAACATCGCACGTCTAACACAACAACATCGTGAGGACATGCCACAGCCACAGCCATAGCCAGAGCCTAAGGAACAACTGGAGTCACAGATTCAGTCATGGCCTGAGGAACAACCGGAGCCACAAGTTCAGTCAGAGCCAGAGTCTGAACCCAAGAATGAAAAGTGACTTAAAAGGCCCAGCCGTTATGTACAGTTGCCTTACACAGATCCTCTGCATAAGGTGATGAAGAAGATGTTGACCTATAAAGATGCAACTGCGGCCTTCAAAAGTGGTTCGCTGATACAAATACAGACTCTGAGCTCATAGATTGCAATTTTGGTGATTGAAAGAATGACTTCTTCCGGGTCATCTTGAAGTCAGGTGAATGAGTGTATAGTGAAATAAGTAATCATAACATATTTTTTAAATTTACAGTCTTATTTTTCATACCATTATCATTATACTGAATTCATTTGTTATGACTTATAGCAAATTGACGAGGCATAGGGTTATCTATCGATGAGAAGGTCACGACCCAACGAAGGCGAGTTCATTGACAATATTATCATCTTGGACGATGTATTATGCCAAAAATTGATAGGGTAATTCTTCGCTAACAAATCAAAATTGGCATAGTGTACATTTGACAGTGACCTGTATGAATATGTCAATGAACAAAAGCGCATAATTCGAAAGAAATGGGATGGCACGCAAGGCTTTACAATGCCTCTTAACATTGAGGATAAGCATTGGGTTGCCCTTTATGTTGATTTATCTAAAATCAACATAAGGGTGTATGATTGCAATGTAAAGATGTACACGAATTAAAAGATGCAAAAATACGTGGAGCCCATCTCTATCATGATGTCTAAGTTCTTGAAGTATACATGTTTATTTAACCATCTGGGCGATAAACTCGACAGTGCGTGACCATTCATTCGTCCCAAGTCATTGGTTCACAACCTCAAAACGGGTGACTGCGGACTTTTCACATACAAATTTATCGAATACCTTGTCCATAAAATCTCGTCAAAAGAACAAGTAGAAACGTACTGGTTGGAGCTAACAACTGGAAGTACAAGCTTAAAAGGCCCGTGAACTGCATATAAACATGATATAATTAAAAACATTATTTTTCTTGTAAAATGTATATAAAAATATTGTTTTATTTGTAAAATGTACAATATTGTTTTGTTTGTAAAATGTGTATAAAAATGTATAATTAAAAATTGAAAAAAATGAAAAAAAAACATCAATTTATAAAAATGTATAATAAAACATGATATAAAACAACACCAAACCACGAATAGAATGACCAAACCAAGAACAGAATGACCAGACCATGATTAGACTAAGAACAGACCAACCGAACCACGATTTGACTAAGAACAGACCACGACCAGACTAATAAAAGACCACGACCAGACCAATAAAAGACCACAACCAGACCAATAACAGATCACGACCATACCAGACTTGATCGTGACCAGACCATGATGATTTATTAATTTTTTAAAAAGTTTTATACCATGTCCCAAATAATAGAGAAATGTCTCATTTATAAAAGAGAAAAAAACGTTATTAAAAATGAAAAAAACCATCAATTTATAAAAATGAATAATTAAACATGATAGATCACAAACAGAATGACCAGACCAAGAACAGAATGACCAGACCATGATCAGACCACGACCATACCATGACCAGACCACGACCAGACCAATAACAGATCATGACCAGAAACAAAACAAACTTTTAAAAAAGTGCTTTTAATATATTTTTTTATTCTTTCGGTATTAAGACATGACTTAGTCAATATATTGATAAATCAATATAATGAATTAATAAAAAGTGTTTAATTAAACGTGATATGTAACAAGTAAAGACATAATTGTACATATTATATAAGACATCGTGTATAAAATAAAGTTATGTTGTGATAGATATAATTAACTAACATTATAAAAATTAATAAGTATTCAACTCAAGATCAGTGATATACATCAATGCCATAAATCAATGATCTAAAATTTATAAAAGTAAAAAAAAAAACATTATTAAACATTGATTTGTTTGGTCTGTTCTTGGTCTGGTTGGTCTGTTCTTGGTGTGGTTGGTCTGTTCCTGCTCTAGTCATGGACTGGTCGTGGTCTGATCACGGTCTGTTCTTGGTCTGGTTAGTCTGTTCTTGGTCTGGTCGTGGTATGGTTGATCTGTTCATAGTCTAGTCACTGTCTGTTCTTGGTATGTTCTTAGTCTGGTCTTGTTGGTCTGTTAGTGGTCGGGCGGTCATGGTTTGTTCTTACACTTATGTGTTCTGTTCTAAAAATTTAGGCAGCATTTCCCTCTAATTATAAGCTTCTCCAAAGCCAAAATAACTTGTTGAATATAATAAGTATAAAACGTTACAAAGCCAATAATAATATTACAATTGTCAAAAACAATATTATTTTTTTCATGAGCACATCAGTGTGTTTTTACATTTCTTCTTAGAGTGTCCATCAATATATTCTTCTGCATTCATAAACTTCTCATCCACTATCACGTGTAGCGGTACCTCGTGGGTTATATCTCTAAAAAATAACAAATCATCATTGTCTTTTATTACAACGGGCAACGATTTCTGTTTCAAATTCAATACCCACG